TGTCAGAGGCGAACAAGCAGGTCTTTGTCAACCCTTCAAGGAGAGGAGGCCTGGCTCTGAGCTGCACAGAGGGCCTGAGCTCCCTAAGCCGGGAGCAGCTGGCCTGCTCCAGGCCTCCGAGCGGCTGCCACTAGCACACCGAGAGACCTCTTCCCGACACCAGAGCTGGGCAAAGTGCAGGGATCCCCGCGCTGCACCCGCAGGCCCTCCACACTGTTCACACACACCAGCAAACCCCTCACGCAGCTCCCCGCCCACCTGCTCTGCTCCCCTCGCTCATTCAGAACTGCATCCCACCCAAAGTCATCTTAGTCGACTGCTCATCTTCCCTCAACCACTCTCATTTCCTGCCTCCATCCCTGCCCTGCCATGGCCCTGGCCCTCCCAAGGCTGCTAAGAAGCCTCCCACTTAGGGGTCCCTCCTGCCTCTGATCTCCTGAAATGCTTCAGTTGCTCTAATGGCACAGCTGGTGTCCCAGGCCCGTGATGACTGACTGTGTGGACCACTGTTGCTGACATCAGCTTTGAACCTCCATCTTCTAGGATGAGTTCTGCACACATGAGATGCTTAAGAAATGGCCATGAAATGACTGCAGCCACAGCACATCCTGGAAACTTACTTTCAATAGAATATTCAAGTGAGGCTTTAGGTCAAAATGAGAACAGCCAACACTGATGGAGTCCTTGCTATGTGCCAGGCACCACTGGGAGCTTGTACAACCCATTAACTCATTCAATGATCGGAGCAGCCTAACAAGGCAGGTGTTATTGGCTTCCTCAGCTACAGGTGAGGAAACTGTTGGGTGTAGGGTGCAGTAACTGCCCGAGCTCACCAGCTGGTAAGTGGCAGAGGAGGATTCAAACCCAGGCGGTCTGGCACCAGGTTGTGCTCCTAATCACAATGCGACACGGCATTTCATGATGACCGCAACTAAAACAAATCTCACCTGGAGTCCATTCTGATGCACAGTATTTGTTTTGTGGCATTCCTTACAACTAGGGACATGTGCCTTTGCAAGCGTCACCACATTCCTGGGCCCCTTGTACCCCACGTTATGGCAGCTGAAGAAAATAGATCACTATTCCTGTTCTCCTTGACTAGCAGCAGAGTCAGTAGAAGAGAAAGCTGCCATGCTGGGAAGGGGGTCCTGTCGGGGACACTGATGGCCAAGCAAGAAGTCTTTCCAAACACTTTCCAAGCCTGCTTTCAGCATGATCAAGTCTGCAGAATTCCTCAGCCAGTTTGCAGCCTGGTCCTGACCCCTGGATTCCTTCCAGCTTTGCAGGTCAGATAAGGTCCCCGTCCTGCAGCCATCGGGCTGGAAGCTTGCAAGTCCCAAACAGAGAAAGGCAGGCTTGCCATCAGGGCTAAGCCAAACGCTCCAAGCCAATTTTCCTATTTTCCAACCCAGAGAAGGAGTAGACGGAGCTATGGGGAAGCTAGAGGGCCAGAACAAAGGAACGGAGCAGGAGTCGGGGCTGCACCAGGGTTCCCAGCCTCAGGACGGGGCACAGGCTGAGCCTCTTCTCACCCTGAAACAGATCAGTTGGTCTGTGCTCAAGGGCTCATGGGCTCATAGAGGCCCTGCCTATCATGAAAAGGTGAGGGGTCTAGTTTTCTCACCGTCCAGAGGCATGTCCTGGTGGAGGTGTGGTGCAGGTGAGACGCCACACGGGTCCCGTTGGACCACATGCAAATTCAGCTGGATGCGAGGACTCTCCGTGGGAACAAGTTCAGAAGTGGAAAGCCCTGGACAAGCAAGCCCAACTCCCTGGGAGGGTGACGGAGAAGGGAAGGGGCTGTGCAACGTCAGATGGCGCATGTGCGCCAGAGCTCCGGCGAGGATCCAAGATAACATCACCTCTTTGCTTCCTCTTAGTCCTTCCTTTCCTTTCTTCTCTCCTCTTTCGTTTTGAATTTCCCCTTATGTCTGTCATAGGCATCCAAAGGAAATGCCTACTCCCCCTGGGTACAGCCAGGGTTCTAGAGAGAAGAAGGTGAGAGAAAGTTCATGGTAAGGTCTTTCCTTAGAGGGAGAAGAGAAGACAGCCGGGTGCTATGTCTCCCATTCCACCTAGTCCATCGGGAAACACAGAAGTTCCCCAAGAACAAAGGACAAGGAAACCCTGGCTTGAGGAGGCAAAACTGGGTCTCTAAGAGCAGAAGCGGCAAGAAGGATGTGTCTCGGGGCTGCCTGGGTCTCCCAGCAATGCCAGTCAGAGCAAAGTGCCCACCCCTTAAGCTGCTTGCTTTGAGATGTTTAAGCCAGCGAGAAACGAGATGCTGTTGGGTTCAGAGATGGCTCTGTAAGGAGGGGAGGGTGCCCAATGCCAGAGGCAGGGGTGGCCAGCTCCCCTGGCCTGACAGTGGGCCATCTGTCCTGGAAGCGTATGAACAGATACCTGCAGGGCCAGATGTAGAGTCTGCTGACACCAGAGGGAGCTGGGAGCACTTCCAGGCACACGCACCTCTGACTCCACACTGGGATGCCAGTGCTCTGCCCAGGTGTGCACTCCAGGGGCTCTGGGTGAGGGCCGTGTCCAAGGATGGTACTTAACCACTCCTCCTGGATTTACCAGAAGTTTCACCTATTTGTAGATAGGGAGACACAGCAGATACAATGGAAGAAGAGAGTGTGAATCCTGACCACCTACTAGCTGTGGGCCTTGGACAAGCCACTTCATCTCTCTGAGTTTCAGTTTCTTCTTCTGTAACTGGCATCCTGGTGTGATGGGAATATTCAGCACCAGGAAGTGCACAGACCTTGACACACTTCAGATTGGCAAGTGTACAGATTGGCAAGTCAGTTCTAACCCATCCAATCATCTTCCAGCCAGTAAGTGTGACTGGAGGTCATTGGCACCAGGCTCTACACGAGGTTAGAATAAATTCCATGTAATAATATTCTATGTAATATACATGTCTGTGTGCCTGTATGCACACATATATATGTGAACTTACATAGCATACACATTTATGTATATACATGTACACACACATGTGTGTGTTAATAATATGTTTTTTTTTTTTCCTAGATGAAGGTAGAAGGACAGAGTCTCTTGCAGTTTTCACTGGGAAGAAGCAGACCCAGTTCTCTGTAAAGCTGAATTGCGCCACCAAAGAGCTCTGGCACAATCTGTGCTGCTAAATCCGTGTTTCTGGATGATGGCGATGGATTCCCCCTCCTCCTCTTTTTTCTACTTCTTTTCTTGGTCCCCCTTATCCTATTCTGCTCACTAACACCTCCATGGGGTCAGGGAAGAGATCACCTCAAATTAGTCAATTTTATTATTTTTAGTCACTGTTAAGAACAAAGTGGGAGGATGAGGAGGTGTCAACTAATGGATTTTTAAAAAGTAGAGTTGAGGCATTATCTATGCTTGATGATCATACTGGCTATTTCCTTCCCACTATCATAACAGATAATTGAGTATCAGCCCTTTATATAGAGTGCTATTCTGTACTAGGAGTGTCTTTCTCACAGCTCCCAACTCCTACTCATCCTTCAACACCCAGCTCATCATGCCCCTCTTGGAAGCCTTCCATGACTTCCCTAGGCAGATAGCACACTCCCTCTCTATATTTACATAATTTTGTCATGCTGAGGCTCTTACCTACTATCTTCATCTGTGACTGCTGGCTCCCCTTTGTCACAAGCTTACAACCTCCTTGAGGGGCTGACCATGCTTGATTTGTTTTGATAATTCCCAGGCCTAGCACAATGTCTAGCCCATGGTAGGTGTTCAGATAGTATCTGTTCCATGAATGTGTACATCTCTAAAGAGAATACTCTTATCTGAATATTCAACAGGGAGAGGGTTGAGAGATGGGTGTCACTGCTTGCTTTCTCACTAGAAGAAAATCTATCAAGATATAAATTCCATCATTGCCACTAGAATAGCATGGGTTTTTGGCAGCCACTCTCTCCAATCGGAGAGAAGGTTCCTGTTCTAACCATTTCCCAGCAGTTTGTGCACCAAGACGGCACATGAAACATTGTCAACATTTAACATCCACTAGGCCTCATGGTGGTGGAAAGGGCCAAGCTCTCATCTACACCAGACGGCTGCCTCATCCAGTCGATCCGTATGAATCTATTTTATTTTACAGCTGAGGAAACTATGAACTTACAATATTACCAGAAGTGTAAAATTTGCACTTTAAAAGTGGAGGATCAAGGAAAATTTGACTTTTGCTTCATAAAATCCCAATCTTAGCAGGTCATCAACCTTTCCTTAAAAAAATGCCCTGAGCTGTCCTGAGGGTGGACTCAACCCCCTTGGCCTGCTATTCAAGGCCCCTGGTTAATCGTTCTAGCTTCCCTCCCTGAATGAGTTTCAGACATGCCTCACCTCATGCTACACAGCCACAGAGGGGACGGCGCACAGCGTTCCTGCAAGGGGCTCCTTAGCTCACGGCTTCCCTCGGCCTGTGAACTCCTCAGAATCCTCCACCCTCTGTGCTCTTCACCCGCCTGACAACTCAGTATCTCCAGGCCTGAAAGGGGACACATATCCAGGGAGCCTCCCCGGCTCTGTGCCCCCTTGGGCTCCCTCACACCCACTTTCATTGCAACACTGACAAGTATGCAGGTCTCCCAGTGACCCCATGAACACCCCCAGGGCAGGGGCTGCATCTGGTCGTCATTCAGCCCCGGTCTACACTGGCACTAACATTAAATAGGCACTCGAATGTTTGCTGAATGAATTGACCCTCCCTGTACTGTGAAGGCGAGGCTTGGCCATAGTCTGTGAGAATGAAATCCGCAACAGCTGGCAGAAGCGACCTGTGGGAGGTTCCAGTGGAAAATTCCTACTCTAGCGAATTGGTACCACAATGACCAAATTAGAACTACTCACTTTGACCTCATTTATCGACACAGCTCCCCAGGCAGCTCTGAACTCCCACCAGACCATGCGCTCCTAGGACGGGGCAGGTCTCACGCTTCTCCAGGGTGTCAGTACCGAGCATCCCATGGAGGTTTCTGAGTGAACGGCGAACGCTCCCTCATTACCATGTGTAATGAGGATGAGCAGCCATCCTCATTTCCCCTTAGAGATGAGGCCTTTGCCCGGATCTGGGGAAGAGGGAGGAAGGGTAGAAGAATCTCTGGGAAGGGTCAGAATATAAAAGCCCACGTCCTTACAGTGGCTCATGAAGACCTGCGTGGTTGCCCGCTCCTCACCACCCTCACCGCCTTCCACCGGCCCCTTGTTCCTTCTGCTCCAACCCTACTGGCCACCTGCAGGTCCTCAAAGCCCACCTCAGAGCCTGTGCGCCTTCTAGCCTAACTCGCTCAGGGCCTGCTCAGATTTTGCCTCGTCAAGGAGGTCTTTCCTACCATCCTGTATAAAACAACAGTGCCTATTGCCCCAACTTCCCACGTCTCTGGCATGGCTTTATTTATTTATTTGTTCTGCTTTATTTTTTTACGTAACACTTAACCTTCCCTGACATAATGTATGTCTGTTTACTCGCTGACGATCCCCTGATCCGACCAGAATGCAAGCTGCCGAACCCAGAATGGCACCTGCCACCTGCTGAGTAGTACATGATCTATGAATGTCTGTTGAATGGAAGGATGGCTGGATGAATGAATGCCTTGTAAGAGTAACAGACATGGAGGAAAGTCAAGGCCACACCGCGGGGTTGAACATGCACTTGAAGCCTGACTGTCTTGCTGAGCGCAGACCAGGATGCCTGCCCCAAATCCATTGGTCCCAGTTGCCTGGATGTTCCCCTGGGTCTTGGAAGTAAGCTGGTCTGAAGTGAGAAGGCTGCTCAGGGGAGTTAGTTTTCATCTAATACCTCCTGGGACAGAGGATGGAGTCATGGGGCAGGAGCAGGGAGGGCCCTGAAGCTAAATATTTCAGGGCAACCCTCCCAGTGGCTGTGTTGGAAAGGACAATCTGGCCAAAGACGAGCGGAACACTAAGCAGAACTCTGAAATCAGAGGCCTTGGTAACAGCTCTTATCTTTAGCTTGTTGGAATGTATGGTGTTGCAGACAAAGCCTATGGGCAGATTTTAGGCACAAGGTTTGGATGGCACCCAGAGGGGAATCCAAGCTATATTTAAGTAGCTCTAATTAATGTTGGACACGGAAAGGAGCTAACATTTTTTTGAGGTCTACTATCAGCAAGAAACTCCACAAATACATCTAAATTCTCTCCTTTGATCCTCACACAAGCCTATAATGAAGGTGTTCTGTTCCCATCTTACAAATGGGAAAACAGAAGCTCAGGAATTTAAAATGATCTAGGCAAAATCACTCAACTAATAAAGGGCAGAACTGAGATTTGGAGTCGGGTCTGTCTAATTCCAAAAGCTCTTCTTCCTCTGAATTGTGCCACAGCTCAGCGCCCATTTTATGGGAAGGAACCAGAAGAGGAAGAAAGGAAGGGAGCTCAACATGATCCTATTCCCCCCCAAAATGAGAATCTGGTATAAGGAACAAAGTCTGGGGGACAATGATCCTGGAACTCAGAACTGGAAAACGTCTCAGAAATTATCAGGTCTGACCTTCTCTCCTGTGCTCAGCTTTATGAAATGCTTCTGGTTTTAGTTTTCAAGGGAATTCAAGATGTCTAGATGAAAAAGAAGAGCTTTAGGACAGAGGACAGCAGAAGGTAACACCAGCAACTAGGACAAGATGAGCAGGCAGGCAGGTGCGTGGCCATGTCAGCATCTTGGCGTCTCCTCTGTAACTCCCGATCTGTAGGTGTGGGTGCCCTGGGCCAGCTTGAAGGACATGCATTACTATAAAGGGTTCAGGGTGCTGACCCCTCAGTAGATCTTTATTCATGTGGGAGGGAGATCAGTAAATGTCAGGTGCAAGTTTAGTGAAGAAGTTCAAGAGGATGCAACCTCATCTTTACAGGTAAGAAGAAAAGTGCCCCTAACTGAGGGGGAAGAGGTGACAGAGGAGGAAAGTAACAAGAGAAAACCAATGTGTTGGCAGTGAGGGAAGAGGCGTGGGGCATGGTGACCTACAGCTTAGGTGCCAAGGTGCTGTCAGATGATAACTTCACGAACCGAATTTGCCTTTAAAAATGTTATAGCAAGTGAGATGCCAGCTGGACCTCTGGTATAAGAACTAAATTCCATCCCGGGTTGGCTTAAGGGCTTCTCCTCTCCCCCAGCTCATCTAAACCTGCATGACCAGGATGGGCAGAATCAAACCCAGACTGTGTTGAATTTCACAGGGATTCTGCAAGGAAAAAGTAACCTAAAACCACAGCTCTAAAATATGCTCTCCCCCTGCATGGAGTTCTCAGCTTCTCTAGTTCATACCTAAACTCTCACAAGACTCAATCAATGTAGCAACAGGATCCACTCAGAATGCAGTTACAGATCCCAGGGACCTTTCACCACTAGATAATTACAACTACTCTGAAATGCATGTCAGTTATTAATTACATTTTTTTTCTCTTTACATGTTTATGGTTTAAGAAGCATGGCTTCTAATCAAAGCTGATATGTCCAGTGAAATGGCAATCCTCACTACTTTCAGGTATTCTATAAGTATGCATATCACACATACCTGCACTACAAATATTGGCTATCACCGTGCTGTCTGCTATAACCAGAGTCACTTGTTTCTTACCTGGAGGCCTCGTGTGAGATTCAGGTTCACCAATTCAGACTGATGGGACGAACCAGCTGAGCAGCTGTCTGGCCAATGAGTCTGGCTTCCCCAATCTGGGCTGTGGCCCCCTAGAATCCTGTGGTTCCTCTGTCCTTAAGTGAGTGATAACCTGCTAAAGGGAAGGCAAGTTGTGTTACTATGACAGGCCATTTCCTGTCCTTCTCTAGAAACAACACATCTTTTAAGGAGAGCAGAGAGGGTCCCAGAACCACAGAGCACCAGGGGCCGGAAGAAATCAGTGTGGCAGCCTTGTCCTTGACAGGTCTGTGTTCTGTAGTTGGGGAAACTGAGGCTCAGAGAAGAAAGAGGTGTCACTCAAGGATTTAGCAATTTGGAGGAAGGATCCCGATGAGAACATGTCTCTGCCTCTCTGGCCTTTGGAATTTTTTAAAAAGCCGCCTCATGGTCAGGCTGACTTCTCCAACAAGTGGCCAGTGACCCTGCATGGGAAGTCTTTTTTTAAAATTCTTACCAGATTTTCAAACCGGGAGGTGGCTTTTTCCAGATTGCTGTTTTTGTAGTTTTGCTGCTGGGAGCTAAATGAGTAAAACAGTCCACCTCGGGCATGTGGTTGGGATGGTTCTCCCTGTTTCCATTAGAAAAATATTGTGGACTAGCCTGAGCCTCAGCACAGCAGCAGCGGGTTTTGTTTCCCAGTGACAGGCAGGTGTGCACCGAGCTTGTAGGTCTCTCTGTCTCTGTCTCTCTGTCGTTCTCTCTCTCCATGGGTTTCAGGAAAACACAGTAACAGACATGACTCCCCTCCCCTGGGTATCATTTATTATGTGATTTTTCTGGCTACTGCACATTTGAACAGCCACTCCTCTGTGCAGAGAACCAAAACCAAGGAAGGGATCTCACATTTATGAAGCAAATAATATCTGCCAGACATACAATGTGCATCATACAGATATGCTTTCCTACTCTGTCCTAAAAAATTTCCTGTGTGGTAACATTAATTCCATTTTTTTTCCAAAGGGTTACAGAACTGAGTTTGAGAGAACTAGAATGATCTACAGAGTTAGAAGAGAACATGCTACAGCATCAGAAACGAACTCATTTCTAACTCCCAAATCCATGTTTTGCCCATCTAAACTGGACTACAGTTACTAGGCCAAAACACTAGGAGTTAAGATGTCTTATTTTTCCAGCTTAGCCTCAATGCAGGAGAAAGTTCTTTGGAAGCTATAAACTGTCCTAAGGACAAGAAGGACTATTCTTGTTAGATTCTTTTTCAGCCAGGGGCCCGAAAGGGCATGGCTTCCTGCTGTGTTCCTAGCTGGGCTCCTGTGCCCCCTAGAAGCTGGGCTGGCCCTGGCTCCCAGCAATAAGAGAGCCTGTCAGGAAATCATGATTATCAACGCTCGGGGCTTTGTTCCTGTTCTAAGACAACAAGGGACATGGTTGGAGAGATGGGGTGGGGGTGGAGAAAGAGGAAGAGAAAACAGGAAGTAAAGGGGGGGGAGGGAAGGAAATGGTAGAGAAAACACAGCAACTTTGCAGAGCTCTAGGCCTGACGGGAAAGTGATTTTTGAGCCGGCGTTTGTGGGACTGGCCCTGCATTTGGGAAACCAGGTCATGGTGGCAGAGGAGGGAGAAGCTTGTTTCCTCCAGATTTGGGGTTGTGCTGTCAATTTCTACCACAGAGCAGAGCATGAGGAAAAGGGTACCTTAACACGGGGGCTGATTCCTTCGGGCACTTGGGTGTAGACAGCGAAGGAGATGAATTTCTAAAAGAGGATCCTGGTGTGAGACGACCTCACTCCCCTCTCGGCTGTGCCTGGGAGGCCAGACGTGCCACAAAGGAACCCGGAGACTAGAGAGAAGATGCTGAAGTGATTGGTGGAAGGGGTGCTATCCCACCCCCATTTCTTCTTCCTCAAACACCCTCAGAATGACAACACATTTTTCATGTACATGATTGGGGCTTGAGTCACCCAACTGGGCCCAGCAAGAATCCCACTTTCTTTTACCACACAACTAATAGGGTCCAGACCAGGATGCTAAAGTACTTTCAGAAGCTTCCTATCCATTTTGTTTACTTATTCACAGACATTTGCAAAGGTTCTCCAGCTTCCAACATACACATTAAGGAGTGCAGTCACTGGTATGTTGAACAACTGCACAGAGTGAGAACCCTCATAATAGCCTAATCAGACTCTAATGCAGATACTATCATAGTCTCTGGTTTCCTGACTGGTACCAGGAGAGGCACAGGAAAGGCAGAGCCCCCTATAGACAAGCTCTCAGATACCAGTCCTATCCATTCCAGTGTTCCCCAAACTGGTTGTGCACCTATCTGGAGAAGCTTACAGACAGCGCAGTCCCACGTCAGAACTGGGCCCAAAGCTTCTGGAGAGTTTTGATGTCATCGATCTGGCTCTGGGTCACAGACCAGGGTTTGGGTGACTTGGACCCCTCTCCAGCCTCTGTCCATCACACAGACTGGGTTGCGGGGGCCTTCCAAGGGAGGGGCATGGGCCAATGATCTGCCCCTAATTCTGTAAATTATCTCCCCGCCATCCAAACAAACACAGAGCAACAAAAATAGCACATGTTTGAGAGGAGCCCAAGTGTTTGGCAGTGACGGCCAGTAGTTTCCTGTCTGAGTCACCCCTAGGCCAGATGTCCACCAGGGAGAGCAGAGATCAAGCAGGCAAGGCAGTCAGAACCCCCATCTCAGATCCCCCCAAAATGACCTCTCCCAGCACAACACTCAACTGCTTCTGTCACCAGCACTGTGGACAGCCAGAGCTGTGGCCAAATCTCTGCTCCATGGAGGAGACTGACACCACCTAAGACCACAGGAGTCTATGCTCTAGCACCTGGCAGCCAGCAAAGCGTTTTTAAATATCTTGTTTTCCTTGGTCATTGTAAGAGAGATACAAAGCAAGAGGTAATGACCCCATTTCAAAAATGGAAAAGCTATCCAGAGTCATGGAATGACTTATCCAGGGCCACACAACAGAACTGGCATCTCCTGACTTCCACTCTAGTGACCTGTGACCTTTCCCCTACAGCCTGTGTCCCTGCTCCACTGTTCAGTAGAGGGGCTGAGGAATGGCCTAGAACAGCCACATGTCTTTCAGTTTGGAACAGCTCTGGAAGTGGGAGGGCAGGGAACGGGTCCCCTGAAGAGAGGGCACACAGAGGGCAAGTGGACCAAGCTGGGAAGCCCCAGTCCACCTTCCAGGCTATGCAGACGAGGACTCTGAGCCCGGGGTGGGAGCCTGCTTGCTCAGAGTCCCAGCTCACCAGAAGCACAGCCTAGACTCTGAGTCACGGAACCTCAGGGTGGCCTCCCCCATGGCGCCATGGGCCCTGGCCGACATGAAGAAATTCAACCAGGCAGGTTTGTAGATAACAAACGTGGCTGCCTATGTGTGTCAGGTGGTGTTTAGCACTATACAGCTGGTAACCCCCTGAAGCTTCGCAGCACATGCTAGGCGGGCACTGTTCTTGTCGCCTTTCACAGACGAGGTGACTGAGGCACTCGTCCAAAGGGGGCTTGCTTTTGCTGTAAAACCAAGGGTTCAGTTCAGGCAGTCTGGCTTGAATTCCTGCTCTTGATCACAATGCGGTACTCCCTCTGAAAGCTGCGACGTCGAGAATGAAAAAAAGGGCGGGTAGGGGGTGGCAGGTAAAGAAAAGGAATTGTGGAAAGAAGCAGGCAATTAACTAAAGACACGAGGAAGAGATGACACCTTCTTTCAAAAGTCAGAGGAAGGGAGGAATGTCTCCAGGTGGAGGTATTGAGGGTGCTGAGCAGAAAGGACCAGCAATTTGGCCCCAAGCCCCCCTTGGGTGGCAGCCCTCAGTTCAGCCAGCACAGTAAAGGACATCCTGGCCTTGGTGTTTACTCAGCACCTCTCTGCTCCTGGGAGGAGGAAGTAAGTTGGGCCAGGAGGGGCCAAGGGAGGGCCTGAGATGGAGAGTCATCAGGTGGTGGAAGGGATGGTGTCTGGGGAACCCAGCTCCCACGTCATGGCCGGACGGCCCTGCTGGGCAGGCGGGCAGGTGAGACTCTGCCCAAAGTCCCCTCCTTGAATAGTGGACACACTCCCAAGGAAATAGGCTCTGGGGATGCCGCCTGGTTTCAGCCTCACAAAGACCTGGGGACCTCACCAGCTCTGTGAGGTCTGTATGATCATTCCTAATTTATAGTTGAGATAAGCTAAGTGATTTCCTAAAGGTCAAAGAGCTAGTAAGCTGTGCGAAAGGATCTGAGCCACTGTCTATTTGATATTTTGGCCCATGATCTCACCTCTGAACACATGTGCTGTGAAATGGTGACAGGCCTTCCCCACAGTGTGTGCCAATCCACAGCCAACATGTGAGCTGTCAGAGCACATAGGTACAGGTTTTACTTACACATATGGTCCACACTACATCTCTAGTAAGTGCATGCACATGGCCACAGACAGTTAGAGGGACCATGTGATTTATCATCCAAACCCAGGTACTTCTGAGGGTGGGAGGGGGTCTCTTAGTAATGCTGCTGGGACAGCAGGCACAAACCAGGACTGTAGCAGGTGCACAGGGACATATGGTCACCCTGATCTAATCCACAGTCCCACGGGCTGGTTAGCTCTACACCTAGTTGGCAGAGAACTCTCCTGATGACCCCCTGCTTTCCAGTCCACGCAGGTACCTTTGAGCCATTCACCTTTCCTTTGCTCACCAGAATGTCTTCTAAATCTGCTGGGCGTCCAGGCCTTACATATAAAACAGGCTGATGCAACTTGATAATAAGGCAGTCATCTTATGATTTGAGAAGCAAGGGCGTGACTATATATTTAGCAATATATTTTTAAAGGACTTCCCCAGAACCTGACTGTGCAGCTGTCTGACAACCAGCCCCAAACATGAGTGCTCAGGGACTCTCCTACCCAGGGCACCTCAGGCAGCTGGACTAGCAACCAGTGTGGGGAGCAGGTGCTGCCCAACGCTGCTGCAAAAATCCATCCCCTGGCAGGACACAGGACTGCATTTCCTCGGGCAGCGCATCGCTGGGACAGGCCCGGCCATTCTCCATGGGCAGCAGCTCTGACCTGCCCTGCTGGTGGGAGCCGTAGCCTTTTGGCCCAGGTCTCCCCTTTCACCCCACTGGCC